GGGAATGAAGAAGAGGGTGATGAGATAGTAGACGGGGGCGATAATAATGGAGTGTTTGTAGAGTAGTTTCAAGTGGGAGGTGTGTCTGTCCAACTATTGTGCTATGTGGAGGAGAAGCGAATTCATTGGTCATGGGGCAATACTCTAACTTTTATCCATAAGATTCCACTTATCATATCATTTACACCACAAACATGATATCCTCCTAACTCTCTCTCTTTGAGTTTGCCTATGGGAAGAGATCACCAGCCACCTTTGTGTTTTCTTTGCTTGCTTATATGTTACATTGCTAACCTTATTCAAAATACAAAATATGTGGTGTTTCCTCTTTCTTGTTGTACAAGGTAGAGACTTGCAATCAATGAATCAAGTTTGGTTTCTAAATTAAGGTTGTGGTTCCGTAAGTCAAAGTTTTGGTCAACAAGTGGTCCATAAAACTTTTCTCTTCAAGGCATGATCTATAATATTAGGCCATCTTCATGTCAAGTTTCATCCAACGTAATTTGATCAAGAGAAGTTCAAGTTTGGTGCATGATTTCAAAGTTGATTCAAGTATGTTTCATTTGTGCCATCTCCATCCAATTCTCAAGCAATCATCAAGGATATTAAAAAAAAAAAAAACAAGCAAGCTTCCTTTATTTGGTGTTCAAGTGATCATTATTGAGCCTTTAGATACAAGGAAACTCAAAAAACTCAAGTTGGTATATAGTTGGTTGATCTAAAATCAAGTATGGCATGCCTTTTGGTCTAAATATCATAACTCCCTCATTTCTCAATATTTTTGGAATCTTCTTTGAGTAAAATGTCACATTTGATGTCCTCTACAACTTTTCTTCAAGGGTCAAGACTCAATTAATCCCCTAAGTCTCTCAAATTTTTGAAGTCGCTCAAAGGTCACATGTGCACAAAATTAGGTTCATGACATGTTTGACCTAATGATAGACCTCTTTTTCAGTATCACGACCTCAACTTTATGCTATTTTCAGCTCAAGTATCCTTTTGACTTGGTTCTTTTTGCATTGTTTTCTACTTCATAAAAGGATCATTTGACTTGAAGAAAATCACAAAACGCAAGAGTGGATTTCATTTGGTCTAAGCATGAACATGGTGACCTGACTCTGCATTTTTGATACATGACCCATAATTAGAAATGACCTAAAAGTTATTTGGGACCACTTAGCACATGTGCAAACTTCTTTGTCACGATGAAACGCAACTCAAACAATGCAAAATGACCCGAATTGATAAAAAAAACTCACGCATTTAGTGTTGGTGATTTTAGTATCATCCATGTATTTTATTAGTAATGTGATTTACTATAGACCAATCCAATTATGCGTTAAGCTTGGAAACGAGTTAGGGCAGTGCGGAATGCACGCTCGTCAAGCCAAAGTATAATTGAATGAGAATAATTGAAACGGGGTTCCAAGGGCCGAAGCCCCTGGCGGGGTGCGGGGCAGCGGCCCGTTGAAAATTTTCGAATTTCGTAAACCCTTTCCCAACTAACATAACCGTTTTCTGAACAGTTATGTCTTTCCGGTTTCCGTTATTGATCTCCTATATAAGGAGTCATTTGACCTCGGTTTCGAATACAGAAAAACGAACAACTTTCTCTCTACATTCCTGATCAGTTCTCTTCTGTCAAAAACTGATTGTTCTTCAAGAATTATCCCCACAAATATTTCGTGAACCCAGGCAAAAATATGGTCGAAATACTTTGTTCGGAAAGTGTACGAACACGATTCTTCGAAGTTATCCAGGATTATCATACCAAATTTCTAACATTTAGTGGTTCATTTCACACGGTTTAGATCTAGAATTTTTTGAACTTGGTTCACATGTTTTGTAACGCCCCATATAATATATATCTAGAATAATATCATATAAGTGTTATTATTTGGTATTGGCACAATCATAAGTGGCTATTGACAACATTTAGATACTTGACCATTTCTATAACAATGAAAGAATCTATGGTACAAAATATGGAAATTGCCAAAACAATAAAATCTAAGATCTTAGTACAATATCCTTCATTGAACAATATACATAGTAGAAAACATAATCTAAGCTTCTTTCGAAACATCCATGCATAGCTACAGTTGAAAACTAAACCTGCAAACAATATCTGAAAAACAACAACAATGATGGGGTGAGATATTAATCTCAGTGAGTTCTCTTATCTTATGGGTTCAATCGGCTCTACAAGGTTATAACCTAATTCTAACTCAAGTCGAGGGAAAAAAGACTTGAGCTCACAAACCTCGCAATATATGAAAACATGCCTCTTGAATTCATCAACTCAAATAATCACTAGCTCGAAAACCATACCAAGGCATCCTTCCCCATCCTCTCCTACGTCTAGGACTTTCGGCACGTGTCACGGATACTTGTACGTACTTTGACATACAAAATAAATTCGGATTCTAAGGGACTCCTCAACCTTAAGAATCATCGTTGTGGCAGGTAGCGCGCGTCCTGCCTTACTATCACGGTCTCGCGACCGTGGTGAAAATCATCATAGATACAATCACCTCTTACCTCACAACGGTTGGTTAGGCGTTGTGGTATTCCTTTTCCAACCGTTGTAGTATGGCTTTTCCGTAGTAGTGATATCAAGCAACCTCCAAGATTTGTGAAGTTGTGGAAGGAAATGATGGTGTACGGCCTTAAACAAACACCAAAAGCTTGAAACAAGAAAATTGATTACTACTTGGTGGAATTGGGTTTCATCATCTGCAGGTCCGAATATGGTGTGTATGTGAAGTCAATGGGAGATGAAATAGCACTCATATGCCTATATGTTGATGACTTTTTTGTTACAAGAAACAACATCAAATTTGGAGAAGTTCAAGCAACTGATGATGAAATAATTTAAGATGACGGATTTAGGGAATCTATCCTACTTCTTAGGTATGAAATTTTTGAAAACGGGAAAAGGTATGATACAACATCAAAAGAAATATGTTAGAGAAATTCTCAAGAGATTCAACATGCTTGAAGCTAACCTTACAGCCTCTCCCACTTAAGCAAACTTGAAAATTGAGAAGAATGGGAATGAAGATAAGTTGGATGTAACTCTATTCAAACAAATAGTAGGTTCATTGAGATATATATTCAACATCATGCCTGACATAGGATTCTCAGTTGGTCTAATAAGTATATACATGAATGACCCTAGAGTATCTCACATAAAGCGACAAGAAGAATCCTAAAATACCTAAATGGAACAGTTAATCATGGTATTCTTTTCTCTAGAAGCAAAGGTGATGATGATGCAGTGATCACGTTTTATTCGTGGAGACAAATCTGATAGAAGGAGTATAACTGATTACTTTTTCAATATTTTTGGTGCACCTATCTCACAGTGTTCTAAGAAATAACTAGTTCTGTATTATATTCATGTGAAGCACAGTAGACTGCATGATCTTATGCAGCATACCAAAAAATTTGAATTGAATTGATGTTGAAGGAGTTATTCCAGTTAGAAAATCACTTGTAGGCTACAGTTGGATAACATGTCAAACATCAATTTCACAGAGAATCTAGTTCTTCATGGCAGGAGCAAGCACAAATAAGCTAGATTCCATTTCTTTTGAGGGAGCAGGTGAATAAGGAAAACTAAAAATGAAGCATTGTTCAAGTGAATTCCAGTTTGTAGATATTTAATAAAGGAACTGGAAATCGATAGATTCTTGGCTCTTAAAAAAAAGTAAGGAATTGGTCAATTCCAATAGTTTGCATGTTTGGCTTAGTTTACATGTTTGTTGTATTCCTTAAGTTGGATTATAGGATGCATGTTGTGAGATAATTCGACATTATGTGATATAAGAATCAGAATTAGTTAGAATGTAATTTTGTAGTGAAGTTAGTTACTTACTATATTCTATATTGCATATTGATTGTAACATTGTTACTACTCAATTCAATATTGCACTTCTATATTCTATACTCTCTCTCAATTATCTACTGTCTCAATTACTTTTCTCTCAGTTTGAATGCAATTAGAGTTTGCACCAACACTAATTTCATCATTGTTTGATTCGATGTTACTTCTCTGTTTATATTTTGTAATATTAAAGAGAATAAGAATTTTTTTGTGTGTAAAGTATATAGAGCAGCCACCTGGTGTTGTTTGTAAGTTACAAAAATTATTGGAGTGTCTTAAATAATTACCTTGAGCTTGGTTTTTCACAACAAGTAACCTCCTAATTGAAAATCATTTATAACAAACTTAACTGATTTTTAGCTACTTTTACAAACTAACAAGCTTTCTAAAACTAACAATTTTAGCATATATGGTGCTTCTGTTTTTTCCTGAGACTTTTGCCACTTTGCTAGCTATTGAGATTACTCGGATTAAAGGTTGGCATAGTAATTGGTTAAAATGACACTCTTCTTTGGTGGTCTTTGCTTTCCCTTCTCTTCAATTTGGTCCTTGGCACCTTTGAAGCTGCTGGCAGAATTGCATTTATTTTATTTTGTCTACTCGCATTCGGTTTTCTCGTGTCTTTTGAGAGAGAAGTCATTCGTATTTCATAATCATACTTCAATCTTTTTTATAAAAATAAATTTTCAAGAAAACATTGTGCAAAACAAAACAAGTCAAAAATAACTACAAAATATTGCCAAAGTTTAAATGCAGAATATGTATAACATATTATATTCTTTTAAGTTGTAATGTATACTTAAAATTCTTGTTCAAAGGAAAATCTACTAAACTTCATTTATCAATCTTCTGTTACATACACTTCAATGAAGATCCAAGTACCATTCATTATTCTCATGGAAAATCTATCTTCAGTTCTGTCATACAATACAAGAATATCACTCACCACAGCACATTGTGAACAACTTTTAGATACAAGTATGTACCAATCCATCCATCCACTCACAGCACAATATATTCCACCGCTCGCTTAAATTTTGGGAGTTGAGACAATCAGATCAATTGCAGTTGCATTTCCATCCGCATTCATAACCGGCTTCTTGTGATGCCATCAGCTAGATAGTTACAATGACACAAACATAACAGTAAGTAACTATAGAAGTCATGAAGGAAATAATTTTGAAGAATCCTGCAAGAGTGCAAGTATGCGACAAAGTAGAACATGCTATAAACTTATTCAAAAGTCTGCCATATAGAATAGAGAAAATAATTTTGAAATTTGACATGAAGATCATAAGTAAAGTAACAACACAAACCAAATAAGATTAGCAGTGATTCTAAGACGTCATGTCATGTTGGTATCTTTAATACCTCTTTAAGATTATGTTTGGGATGTGAGCAATTTTGGGCCATGTTGCACTTGTTTCTGTCTCACATTCTTTAACTAACAAGGGACATGCAATGATTTCGAGGGTCTGTAATTTGGTAAGACTAGGCATTCCTTTAGGCAATGACGCCAATCGCTTACATTCCAAAAGAGTGATATGCTGAAGTGAAGAGAGGTTGCACATCCAATCTGGCAATGTCTTTAGACGTGAACAATTCCAAAATTTAATTCTTCGCAGGACAGGAAGATAGTTGAGGTCGTCCTTAAACCAAATCTCAATTTCTTGAAATTTTTTATTTCCAAGATCATAAATAACAAGACGCTCTAGAGAAGTCAGATTTTGCACCCAATCTTTTGGGAGTCTTTTCACATTCAGATCAAATCCACCAAAGTATAAGTATTTTAGCATGGAAAGAGGAGGGAATTCAATTAAACATTTTGAAGCGGTTATGTTTAACGTCGCTTCCAATGTTTCCACTCTGGAATGTGTTAAACTCAATGTCTTGTCAAGTTTTGGAAAAGTAGGCATATGAGTCAAACCCAAACATAGATAAATTTCTAATTGAGAAAGACGAGGAAAGGAGAGATTATATAACTGTGAAGAGTTACCAACATCATTTACGTCATCCCTCATCCTCCTCCATCCCCTCAACTTTTCACATCCAACAAATTTGAGTTTCACCAAAGATGGAAAAAATGATTCAGATAAAAGAGGCTCTTCATAATATATGAATTCCAAGTCATGAAGCTGATATATACATAATGACTTAAGAAACGGGAGACGCTCCATTGGTGGGAGATACTTCATATCTAGACATTGACATAGAGAGATTTGAACAATATTTGTGAGTGAAGAAAACCAATTTAAAAAATTGACACTATTATATTGTCCTCCCACCGCCAATTTTCCAAATTGAGATGTTGTCTTCTTCAGTTCAGAAGCTTTAAAATTTTCAATATCAAAATGTCTCAAATTGATTAATTTTGAGATATCTTGGGTAGAAAATTCAACTTCTTTACATCCCTCCAATATCAGTGTTTGTAAGAAAACAATACTACTTATGGAATAGAAAAGACTTCCCAATCCTTCGCAATACTGTAAATGAAGATATCTTAAATGCTTCAATTTTCCGATTAAATCACACAACTTACTTAAAGAACAATGTGATAGCTTCAACACACGCAAGTTTTCAAATTTTGAAATGACAGACAATTCCTTCTCATTCCAGGTCTCTGAAAAGTTAGACAGCAAAATCAGAGTTCGTGTCCTACTTGCATCCAATGACTCCAACAAACTAATAGCATCACTTTTCAACATTACATGCATGGGACTTCGTACAGGTATTTTTGTTGCACTATCCAAATAACAACAGTTACTTCCGGATAATTGCATTGCAAGATCATGTACTAAATCATGCATTTTGAAACTACGTATATCACCAAGACGATCAGTTTCAGCATCTTGGAAAAAAGAATTCATGAAGAAAATCTTCACGATTTGATTACCAATGTCTTCCATGAGCTGGTTTTCATCTGAACATTCGAGATAACCTTGTGCCATCCATAGTTGAATCAACTCATCCTTCTTTATTTCCCAATCTTTAGGATATAAAGAACAGTAAACAAAACACTGTCGTAGTTGAGGAGACAGGTTTTGGTAACTCAGTTTCAACACAGGCATGATGCTTTCTTCATCATCACATGATTTCCAAAAATCACCTTCTAAAATATCATTCCATTCCCTTTCTTCACTTTTACCCTGCAACAGGCCTCCTAATGTTCTGATTGCTAGCGGAACACCGCGACACTTTTCAGCTATCTTCTTACCAATTGATTCAAGAGTTTGGTTCACTACTCCTTTGGTGTCATCCCCATATGTAATGAAGTTTTTCAATAAACCCCATGATTCTTCTGGAGTCAAACCATTCAAAACATAAGGGTCTGTTATACCCATAGTCTGCGCTACAGTTTTAGTACGAGTTGTCACTACAACCTTACTGCCTTGAGCACCACGCACCAAATAAGTCCTTAATTGAGTCCATTTTTCAAAACTTTCGTTCCATAGGTCATCAAGGACTAAAAAGTATCGCTTCCCAGTTAAATTGTCATGAAGCATATTTTGCAAGTTATCCAATGATAACGTATCATCAATTTTGCTCTTGGTTAATGATTCCAGCATTTTCTTTACAATAGTTTTGACATCAAAGTTATTAGAGACACATACCCACATACACTTTTCAAAAATATTTTTCACTTGAGCATCATTGTATACCAATTGAGCAAGAGCCGTCTTTCCCAAACCGCCAATCCCAGTAATAGCAACTAGCGAGACATTTTGATTTCCATGTGGTTGCTTCAACAAGCTTATAATTTCTTTTTTATCATCTTCTCTTCCAATGATATCTGAGTCTAACACATAAGAGCTAGTTTCCCTCTTAATATTGTTACTTTGCAGACGGGAATCCAATCCAATGGGAAATTCAGTAATAGACAACAATGAGACATCTATTTTTCTCAAAATGTCGTCAACAATTTTCTTCACTAGATTACTTTCAGTTCTGCAATAGTAATAAGAGAAATAATAAAGACAAAGAATGAGGGTGTGATTATAAATTCAAAAAAGTGTTAGTTTATTATTACCCGAAACTAGTGGAATTCCAGCCAGATAGATTAGCAACTTCGGTGAGTGCCGTCTTCCACTTTTTCAACAGATCTCCTTTCTTTTTGTTTAGACTAAAAAATTCGATACGTCTTGCACTAACTTTCAAGGCTTCTCCAAAATCACCAGTCTGCCAGCGAACAAATGATGGGTCAATCTCGAAAAATACTGGTAAAACTAACTGACCATAATTTTTGCGGCAATCCATGATATGTAGCAGCTCGTTAAGACACCAGCTAGACTTTGTATAGTTGACTGATAAAACAACAATACAAATCTGAGAGCCCTCTATTGCCCTCTTTAGTTCTGGTCCAAGTTCCTTTCCCTTTGGAAGATCCTTGTCGTCAAGAAAAGTTTTGATTCCTGCGTTTGAGAGTGCAGCATGGAGATGAGAAACGAAACTGCTGCGAGTATCTTGTCCTCTGAAATTTATGAACACGTTGTAGATCCATGGATGACGGGTGGAAGAAGACATTGTTTTGAAAGGGTTTCACTCAAGTCAACCACTACACAAGATCACAGATGAAGAACAGAGTAATAATAACAATGGAATAAGATAAAAGAGATGGTGATAATAATTTTCGAGGGAAAAATTAGTGAGAGAAAGTAAATCAAGAGAGATAGAGAAAAGGTTGGAAACTGTAGAGAAGTGGAAGTTAGAGGATCCATATCCAAAATACAACGGGAATGCTACTGCTACCCATATTTGACCCCAAATAGTCTTTTCCATGAACATTGACTTCAAATGATAAAATTGATTAATAAATGTGTAAATATTAAAAATAATTTTTTAGTAAATTAAAATTGATTATAAAAAAATAAAAAATTTGATTAATAAAGTTATAAAGTTACGTCGAAATATTAAAAATAATTTTTAATAATAAATAAAGTTAATTAATAAAATATAAAATATTAGTTAATAAAATCATTAAGTTGGTAATCACAAAATTTTACATTAATTTTTTTTAATTAAAAAAATTATTGTTATAATTTTTTATTAAAAAATATATTATTATAATATTTCATTATTCACCCTGTTGACAAAAAAATATATATATAGATATATAGATGTATGTTTGTAATGGAAGAATATCATTTTCGAAAATACAATTATCCTACCTTTATAATAATCTTATTTAGAACGACTATAGGTGTTTGAAAGTTAAACTATATATGAACCACTAATAAATATAGAACTATAAAAATTTAAAGGGTTATAGTGTTAATATTTAAAAGAATAGAATAAAATATGAATAGGAACTATAATTATTGTTAGTAAGAATAAAATATTTATTATTTATATTTTTTTTAAAAGTAGTTTAGTGGATGAGATTTTATCATTAGAATGTCATAGATTTGAACTTATATCTTTAGATTTAATGTAATGTCACGTCTATCAACTAAGATAGCTTATATTAGTTGCATTTTACCTAATATTTGTTTAAATATAAGGATGTCTAAAATAAGATGAGAGTCTTTAGTATTTTCGGAAAAACCTACCAGTAGTCTTTGCTAGGGTTCTAAAGTATGAATTCGTCATCGTTAAGATTTTCTCTAATGAATCACGAGAACCACACTAAAGAGGAGGATCTGAAGGTTAGGAGTACAAAAAGTGTCAAAGAAGGAGATGTTGTGTTCACCTTCTCGCCATATGGTTCGATCATATATGATGAGATGGGGTATGTGCACTCTACCGAAGATAGTAACAATGACATGGTAAACATCAGTAAAGAGCAAGGGAGTAAAAATGTGAAAGAGGCAAGACTGAGTCAATATACATCAATGGGGAAAGAAGGGAGACCCTATTGGGATTTTGTTATCGATCAGGATACCAATAACATAAGTCTATGAGGGAATGAAGAAGAGAGTGATGAGATAGTAGACGAGGACGATAATAATGGAGTGTTTGTAGAGTAGTTTCAAGTGGGAGGGTGTGTCTGTCCAACTATTGTGCTATGTGGAGGAGAAGCGAATTCACTGGCTATGGTGCCATACCCTAACTTTTATCCCTAGGATTCCACTTATCATATCATTTGCACCATAAGCATGGTATCCTCTTAACCCTTTCTCTTTGGGTTTGCTTTTGGGGAGAGATCACCAACCCACCTTTGTGTTTTCTTTGCTTGCTTATATGCTAACATTGCTAACCTTATTCAAAATACAAAATATGTGGTGTTTCCTCTTTCTTGTTGTATAAGGTAGAGACATGCAATCAATGAATCAAGTTTGGTTTCTAAGTTAAGGTTTTGGTTCCGTAAGTCAAAGTTTTGGTCAACAAGTGGTCCATAAAAATTTTCTCTTTAAGGCATGATCTATAATCTTAGGTCATCTTCATGTCAAGTTTCATCCAACGTAATTTGATCAAGAGAAGTTCAAGTTTGGTGCATGATTTCAAAGTTGATTCAAGTATGTTTCATTTGTGCCATCTCCATCCAATTCTCAAGCAATCATCAAGGATATTAAAAAAAAAAAACAAGCAAGCTTCCTTCATTTGGTGTTCAAGTGATCATTATTGAGCCTTTAGATACAAGGAAACTCAAGAAAACTTAAATTGGTATATAATTGGTTGACCTAAAATCAAGTATGGCATGCTTTTTGGTCTAAATATCATAACTCTCTCATTTCTCAATATTTTTGGGATCTTCTTTGAGCCAAATGTCACATTTGATGTCCTCTACAACTTTTCTTCAAGGGTCAAGGCTCAATTAAGCCCCTAAGTCTCTCAATTTTTGAAGTTTCTCAAAGGTCACATGTGCACAAAATTAGGTTCATGACATGTTTGACCTAATGATGGACCTCTTTTCCAGTGCCACGACCTCAACTTTACAAGCATGTCATTTTCAGCTCAAGAATCCTTTTGACTTGGTACTTTTTGCATTGTTTTCTACTCCATAAAAGGATCATTTGGCTTGAAGAAAATCACAAAACGGAAGAGTGAATTTCATTTGGCCTAAGCATGAACATGGTGACCTGACTCTGCATTTTTGATACATGACCCATAATTAGAAATGACCTAAAAGTTACTTGGGACCACTTAGCACATGTGCAAACTTCTTTGTCGTGATGAAACACAACTCACACAATGCAAAATGACCTGAATTGATCAAAATTCACGCATTTAGTGGTTCATTTAACACAGTTTAGATCTAGAATTTTCTCAACTTGGTTCACATGTTTTGTAACACCCCATATAATATATATCTAGAATAATATCATATAAGTGTTATTATTTGGTATTGGCACAATCATAAGTGCCTATTGACAATATTTACACACTTGACCATTTCTATATCAATGAAACAACATATAGTACAAAATATCGAAATTGCCAAAATAATAAAATCTAAGATCTTAGTACAATATCCTTCATTGTACAATATAAATAGTAGAAAACATGATTTAATCTTCTTTCATAACATCCAAGCATAGCTACACTTGGAAACCAAACCTGCAAACAATATCTGAAAAACAACAACAATGATGGGGTGAGATATTAATCTCAGTGAGTTCTCCTATCTCATGAGTTCAATCGGCTCTACAAGGTTCTAAACTAATTCTAACTCAAGTCGAGGGAAAAAAGACTCGAGCTCACAAAACTCGCAATATATGAAAACATGTCTTTTGAGTTCATCAACTCAAATAATCACTAGCTCAGAAACCATACCAAGGCATCCTTCCCCGTCCTCTCCTATGTCTAGGACTTTCAGCACATGTCATGGATACTTATACGTACTTTGACATACAAAATGGATTCGGATTCTAAGGGACTCCTCAACCTTAAGAATCATCGTTGTGGTAGGTAGCGCGCGTCCTGCCTTACTATCACGGTCTCGCGACCGTGGTGGAAATCATCATACATACAATCACCCCTTACCTTACAACGGTTGGTTAGGCGTTGTGGTATTCCTTTTCCAACCGTATGGCTTTTCCGTAGTAGTGATATCAAGCAACCTCCAAGATTTTTGAAGTTGGGGAAGGAAATGATGGTGTACATAGTGCATAATGCTCTCTATGGCCTTAAACAAACACCAAAAGCTTGAAACAAGAAAATTGATTACTACTTGGTGGAATTGGGTTTCATCAAGTGCAGGTCCGAATATGGTGTGTATGTGAAGTCAATGAGAGATGAAATAGAACTCATATGCCTATATGTTGATGACTTTTTTGTCACAAGAAACAACATCAACAATTTGGAGAAATTCAAGCAGCTGATGATGAAATAATTTAAGATGACGGATTTAGGGAATCTATCATACTTCTTAGGTATGAAATTTCTGAAAACGGGAAAAAGTATGATACAAAATCAAAAGAAATATGTTAGAAAAGTTCTCAAGAGATTCAACATGCTTGAACCTAACCTTATAGCATCTCCCACTGAAGCAGACTTGAAAATTGAGAAGAATGGGAATGAAGATAAGTTGGATGCAACTCTCTTCAAACAGATAGTAGGTTCATCGAGATATCTATGTTAGTCTAATAAGCATACACATGAATGATCCTAGAGTGCCTCACATGAAAACAACAATAAAAATCTTAAGATACCTAAATGGACAGTCAATCATGGTATTCTTTTCTCTAGCAGCAAAGGTGATGATGATGTAGTGATCACGTGTTATTCATATTCAAATTGTCGTGGAGATAAATCTGATAGAAGGAGTATAACTGGTTACTTTTTCAATATTTTTGGTGCACCTATCTCACAGTGTTCTAAGAAATAACTAGTTGTTGTATTATATTTGTAACACCCTTTTCTACCCCCACAAATATCATGGCAAAATAACACAGATTTCAGAGTAAAACAATTAACTCAATAAAATTCACTTCAAAGGGCGTACACTTTCTTAATAACTCAAACATGTCAAGGCTCCGTAAACAACGGGTTTTTCCAAAATACATCAAATTGCACAAAGTAGCGGAACTCAAAGGCATAAATCAAGGTTTTCCTCATACGGGAAAATAAGCAAAATAACTCAATAGTATATAGTTTAACTCCAAAGACCCCAACCCGATGTTACATATCAGAGCAAGACCCTCTAAGTTAACCAAAAGGCTAACAACTCAAAGACTTCAAAATAATTCTCGACGGCGTCCACGGCTAAACCTGGTCATCTGCACGTTACCCACGTGGAGGTAACATTCAAACAGGCAGGGTGAGTAAAACAATTCATAATAATCAATTTATAACAATCAACATATAAAACAACGTCATTTTCATATTCAACACATTCATATCCTTCAATAGACCTCAAAGGCCACAATATCATAATTCATACCAAAAGGACTCATAAATGCAATGCGACAAGACTCAATGCATGTGGTACAAATCATCACAGCGCGATGGACACTGAGCCGTCAACCCTCCATAGATCCCCATCAATAGGATCGATTCTACTTGAGAACCGGAGCACATCAAAATACTTCACATCCACACAGTGGGATTGAAGCCAAAGTAATCGAGGTCCTGAACCGAAGTCC